CGCAATGCGGTAAACCGCAAAACGCGGTCGGTTTGCGGTTTCAAAAATCACCAAACCGCAAATAGTCGGTCGGTTTGCGGTTTGAGTAAAAATTCGCGGTTACCGAACCGCAACCACCCCTAAGCTTATATATGGCACCTTAGAAAGAGAGCGCACAGTAGACAAGTCATCTGTTTCATGTCCCACCAACAGGCGCATTCAAATCTTCGTTGATTGGTCTGCCTATGGAGAAAAACTTTCATGCCACAGGTATGCCAACGTCAGCAAACTATGTAAGTATCCCAAGCCAATAAAATATCAACAGCTGGCAACTAATTTTACTTCCAATTTTACATATTAAAAAAATATTCTGGACCCATTTTCTCCTCTCTCTTCCGCATCCCGTCTCTCTCATCCATTCATCTCTCTCTTTCTTCACTTTAGTCACTCCATCATCATCATCCACACACTCCTGCATTCCTATTTTTCTCTTCAATCAGTAATCCTTCATAACCCACTCTTGGTATTGATATCTCAGTTTTAATTTTAGTGAGGTATAATTATTGCGACTGCCATGAAAATAAATACATAATGAAAAATTGTGCAGTTCTAATTTTCTTATTTGGCTCTTATCAAGCAGCCCCGATCTGTGACAAAATAAACACATCAGAAAATTACAACAGTACAATTGATCAGATCAACAAGGCATCAATTTATGTCTTTAGTAGGATTTATGCATGTAATGAGTTTTATGGCTATAGTGGACTTTATGCCTTTTGTTTCATTTCTTTGAGCTGGTTTTTTGAGTTCACTGATGTACTGGCTCTGGCTTTCTACATCAATGAAAACTTATTTTTTGAGTTCACTTACAGATTCAGCTACAAATAGTCCCAGGGTCGCTATAATGATTTTGTTCTGCCCACTTCAAAGCAGATGTTGCAGAACGAGCTTCCGATTGCATAATTATAAGGCATTACTGAATTTTATCGTAATGTAATTTTGAGATGGGAACTTGTCAATCCAGATGCAGAAATCATCTATCTTTCACAATCATCTACCAACACCAGTTGATAGAGTTGAAATCACAATCAGCAAAATTTAAAAATAGAAATGCCCTTGTGTTTCATGTTTCATTTTCCATTTTTGGTTGTAATTAAGCATATGTGTCACATGCAAAATAGAACACCTCTTTGGATCACCATCCATCATAACATGCTTGTCAAGTATTCCAATCAGACAACATCTTCATTCTAAACTGGCCCAACATTCAGCTTATCGGTTCTAATTCTATAGTGGCTGTTCAAGGAAAGTTCCATAAAAGGATTAGAACCTACGTACGTCACAAATGTAACAAGCAGGCCAGAGATTCTGTCCGGCGAATCGCCCTCCTCGTCCAACCAACCACAGGGGCTTCTCTTGAGTCATGGGCTCATAAGGTAGAATCAAAGCATGATGAAGCCAAAAAGGTCAAGTATTATATGGTAATGCTAGGGAGATCACATTTGTGTACTGTTTTAGTATAAGTGGAATCTATTATATGATAGTTAAATTTTTCCTATATTAGAGATGTGATACATAAATATGATTTTCTTAGTACGTAACGGTGTTTAATTGGATTGATTGATCTTGTCTCGTGCATGTATGTGATTTTCATGTCTCAATAATATTCTGTTTTGTATGATTTCTCACCTACAAATGAGAAGGTTAGAGAGAAGGTTACTAGCATTCCTTATATATATACTAGCATTTCTCACCTACGTAACGGTGTTTACTAGCATTCCATTGGACTGTTTTGGAAAATTTGGAAAGGTGAAGCTGAGAGAGAGCTTGGGTCCTGTCAGAGAACAGTGAAGGTGCGGTTTTGGGGAGAAAAATCGCACCATGTATTGATTTCTTCTCCAGATCTAAGGAATCTCTCATGTCATTCCATTATCATAAAGTATTATCATTTTTCACCTTTTCAGTTAAATATATTAAGCAAAAGAAAAAAAAAAAAAAAAGGAGAGAAATCAATATATGATATGTGGGTGTTAAAGAAGTGACTGAAGAGGAAGTGATGAAACAAAGTGTTTTTTTTTGGGGGACTGCAAGGGGAATGGGGGAGAGAGAGAGAGGAGGAAGAACATGGGTGAAAATACTTTGTAAAATTTTAATTGAAAAACAAATTGATTGTGTGGGCTGGTTGATTAAAGAGAAAAAGAGGAGTAAATGCAGGGCGTGTGGTGATGATGATGGTGGAGGAGTCATTGAAGATAGAGAGGGATGCGAAAGGTAGGAGAAAATAGGTTCATAATATTTTTTTAATATTTAAAATTGGAAGTAAAATTAGTTGCTAGCTGTGCCAGGAAAGTTTTTCTCCAAGAAGAGAGATTCCGTTTTCAATAAAAAAGTGAGGAGAGAGAAATTTATTTTATTTTATTTTATGAGAGAGAATAAAATTAATGATTGTTTATTTAAAATATTAAAACTATTTGCCATATTAGATTTAATCTCAACCATTAAAAGTAGAGTAATCTAATGGCTCAAAAATTGTGTCAAAACTTGTGTCAAAAATATGGTGCCACGGATCCGCCCCTATATATATTATATAAAATCTCAATCTCTTGGATTATAGGTGTTTAACGCCATTACCCCCCGACCAGCTCCCAGCGAGATCTTCTCCAACCCAACCATTGCGTAGCCATTTCTCCACTACTCCACTTGCTAAGCAGCACTTAACCTCCCTGACTATGGCCATCCTTTTTTTTCATGTTTTTATTTTTGTTTTTCTAGTGTTATGTTGTTGATATATTTTAAAATCAATTCAATTTTTTTAAATTAAAAAAGCTTTATAGGTTTTCAAAAGAAAAAAAAAGAGATTATTATGTTCATATATAACGGCAATTTTAGCGGAATGACCAAATTGAATAACGGTCCTAAACACAGGGACCGAATTTGCCAAATTAAAAACGCTGGGACTAAATTATCCAACGTAGTAAAACACAGGAACCATTTTAGTATCTAAGCCTAAAAAAATTGACCATAAATTCTCAACTCGTTACTTTCATATAATTGAAGTCTTTAATTTAGTCAAAACAAATATGGGTAATAAATCTGTGAAATATGTTACGAGAAAAATGAATGCTTACCCTTAATTTGGGCTTAATTGATAAAATTATTAAACTATAAGATTATAATTATCAAAATAGAAATGACATTGAGGGAATTTTTTTAAGGGCAAAAATGAGGGAAAAAGGCACAAGCATTCGCAAATATATATGTGATCCACATTGCCTAATGAGTGGGTGAGTGCGTAGATGCAATGTGGCCCAATATGAAGCGGTGGTGACCATTCAAAAACTCCTTTTCTATTGATACCCTTCACTCCTATTCTAATAGGACAATTTATTGGCAGAAAGGCAAGGATTGTAGCACATGGAATGGAGTTACTTGTAAAAAGATGACTGGTTATGTGATCGGTCTCAACCTTAGTTCTGGCAGGCTTCAAGGCAATATCCATTTCAATAACAGCTTATTCTCTCTTGGCCATCTCAAGAGGCTAGACCTCTCTGAAAATGATTTCAGAGGTTCCTCAATTTCGTCCAAATTTGGTGCCTTTGTAAGTATGACTCACCTTGACCTCTCTGACTCCAATTTCAGTGGCCTAATCCCTTCCGAAAATTCCAACCTTTCTAGTTTCACTCAATCTCTCCCTAGCTGATGGCTTGAACAGAATTGTTCAAAACCTAACCAATCTTAAGGAGCTTCAGCTGTCCGATGTTGACATTTCTTCAGTGGTACCTGATTCCTTCAAGAATATCTCTTCTTCATTGCCAACTCTTGGACTCTTTGATTGCCACTTGCAAGGAAAATCCCCAGAGAGAATTTTCACCAACCAAATCTTAGTCTTGTAGATTTAAATTATAAGTGTTTTCAAAAGCATGCCTAAGCGCGCTTGGAAGCGTGCGTCGGAGTGAGGTAGAGGGAAATCACCTTAGGCGTATGAATGTTTAGCTTGTTGCACGCTTAGCGTAGCAAGGCGTGGTGAGGCGTGGCGAGGCATGGAAGGCACGAAGAAGCGCCGCTGTATGCAAGCCAGAGCGCGAGGAAGAATACGACCTCGCTTGAATTTTTTTTGGTAAGGGTTTGTTTTAAGAAAACGACGTCGTTTCATCTAGTTACTTAAGTTTTTTTGGGAACTGAGTGTCTTAAACGCACGTTTTGGGTGACATCATGCCTTTTAACCCCCCACTGAAACAAACAATACTTCCCTTTTATTTTTTCTTCTAAATAAATACATTAATGGATAATCTGCATCACTTTTAATTCTCTCCATCAATTTTAATGGACCTATCTGTATATCCCTGTATGTAATTCTCTTTGTACTAGATTCATGTATATATACATATATATATATATGTTAGTTTTTTATTTTATTTTTTTCCAAACAACACAATATCCATAAAATCTACTTAAAATAATACTCAAGTCCACACATAAATGCCAAATATCATAGCATTTGATGTTTCATGATGAGGAGTGGGATGCATGAATTGAGTTTTTCTTTTAATGTTGAATAAGTATTTTATGTTTTGGGATTGATTATTACGCTTGAATGATAATTAATACTTATATTTGATAGAATATTTTGGCTTAATAAGAATTAGTAGTACAATTTATCCATATTATATATATTTTTTAATTTTTTTAATTAAATTAAATTAATGTTCAAAAGGCTTATGCCTCATTGCTTCAAGGCTTACGCCTCATATGGTAGATTAAAAACGCCTCGCCTTTAAAACATAACCTCACAGGTTATTTCCCCAAGTCTAATTCGAGT